GGAAGTCTTATTCTCAGGTATCATCTGAATGGTAAATTTGGGGGCAGACTTGAGTTTTCCTGGTCAGGTACTTCTAGGCGGTGGGGACTAAGGTTCTCTTAGGGATGCAGCCCTGAGATGTTAGAAACTACATTAGTATTTGTTCAAGTCTTTACAGGCCAAGATTGAGGCCTAGTTGAGAAGAGGGTTCAGAGGAGCCTGGCTAGAATTTGGTCAAGGAGAGAATGTTTGTCAGTATCTAGTTATTATTGGCATCAGCCAAATATGGGAATTTCATTATTCATGTATCTAATCACTACGGACATTTAACAACAACAACAACAAAAAAAGCCTGAACCAAATCTGTATACTCACAAGAGTTCTCATTCTGAAGTATATCCATCATTGTCTTAACACCAAGGGCTACCAAGCACTTATCCCTGGATTATGGACGTTACAAGGTAATTGCTATTTGGAAAGGAAAAGTTTCATTTTCCCAGCAGCGTAGAAATTTAGCATCATATGAAAAAAAAAAAGATACCTTATATAATTTTTTATGAAAAGAGATAATTTAGATAAAAATAAAATATTTGATGAGACGTAGATTGTCCTGTAGATATGGACCGGCTCCGTATTTCCAGGTGCTGGGTCTAACCATAGTGATGTTTAGAATCAACATGTCTGTGAAAAAGAATTTTTCTTTCTTCAGGTACAAAGTGAGAAGCAAAAAACAAACAAAAAACCCAGAAAATTTTGGCCAGAGACAAATTAGAAAGCTTAGTGAAATGGATCAGTCAGGTTCATTGTGTAGTATTGGTGTAGGGAATAATTCTGTGCATTTTTAGTTGGGTTTACATAAGGTAAGTTTATCTCCTATGTTAACGTATATGCCTGTGTTTTCTAGAATAAGTTGATTTGTACATGGATGAAGTTAGAAAGAAGGAAAAAATGCAAGTGGATGAAGCAGGTCAAGTGTGCAGAAGCCCGAGTCTTGCCCAGTGCTGGAGAATTCACCACTGTGTCACCTCCTCCGTGTTCTTGCTAAATACGTTCATGGTCATTACAGACACTTTAGTGAACATGAGTGAAATAAATAGTAAATACTCTTTAATTCTGAAGGATATCTATTTCTTAACCATCTACACGCTTACATTGGGCCTTTCTTTATCTTTAATGCTTCAAAGTGCTTCCTACTGGCAGAGAAGTCCCTGTTTACGAGAATTAGTGTGTCTTTACTGCATGTTTTTTATATTCTCTCAAATGCGATATGTTAATATTTTCAGGATTCCAGTCAAATTGAGCTGTTAAAAGAGTTAATGGATCTCCAGAAGGATATGGTGGTCATGCTGCTGTCCATGTTGGAAGGTAGTTTCAACTTATACCTTCAAGTTCCTTTTGTTTATATTTTTATTTTAGGGATCCGTGTGCGCTTGTTTATAGAGTTAGCATGCAGCAAAGAATAACATAACACGAATGTATGATGAATACCTTGATTTATTGCTAGCTTCATTCTTTTTCTCAAATTAGAATTTCTTTTTAAAGGGAAGCTGGGTGTAGCGACTCTTGCCTATAATACTAGCACTTTGGGAGGCTGAGGCAGGAGGATCACTGAACCCAGGAGTTCAAGACCTGCCTGAGCAATACAGCGAGACTCCATCTCTATAAAAAAAATTTTTTTAAGTAGTCGAGCACGATAATGAGTACCCATTGTCCTAGGTACTTGGGAAACTGAGGCAGGAAAATTGCTGAAGCCCAGGAGTTTGAGGTTGTTGTGAGCTATGATGACGCCACTGTACTCTAGCCCAGACAACAGAGTGAGACGTTGTCTTTAAAAATTATATATAATATATGTATATATTTATGTATAGTTATATATATTATATATATGTATGTATGTAAAAGCATTTGCCTTATAGGCCTCAAAAGATTAAATAAGATATTGTCTGTGATAATGATTTTTCACCCCTAAAGCACTGGGAAAATGTTCCTTGTTATCAGCATGAGACTAGATCTCAGTTTATGGCTGTTTGCCCCACTTTCTTTATCTAAAACATGTTGCTTCTTTGATTATATTGAGGAAAACAAAGTCAACTTTTGTTCAAATACTGTTCTATGTGTATCAGTCTCATTGCTTTGTAAATATGGTTTTACACATGTTTGTGTAATCACTCTTTGAAAGTGTAACACTCTTTGAAACTATGGTTTACTGGGACAGCTCCTGTGGCTCAGTGAGTAGGGTGCCAGCCCCATATTCCTAGGGTTGCTGGTTCGAACCCAACTCTGGCCAAACTGCAATCAAAAACTAGCCAGGTATTGTGGCAGGTGCCTGTAGTCCCCACTACTCGGGAGACTGAGGCAAGAGAATCACCTAAGCCCAAGAGCTACAGGTTGCTGTGAGCTGTGATTAATTAAAAAATTAATTAATTTAAAAAATTAAAAAATTAATTAAGTAAGTAAATAAATAAAAAGAAACTATAGTTTACAATTATCCATCTTTTCCTGGGACTTCATTTATTGAAGGATAGACAAGGAGATAGTCTTGATTCAGACATTATAAAGGATTTATATTGTTATTTTCTCCATGTCAAGAAGGTTACTTTAACCAACTCCAATTGTTTTACCACCAGGTAATGTTGTTAATGGAACCATTGGCAAACAGATGGTCGATATGCTCGTGGAGTCTTCCAACAATGTAGAAATGATTCTCAAATTTTTTGACATGTTCTTAAAACTGAAGGATCTGACATCTTCCGATACATTTAAAGAATACGACCCTGATGGCAAAGGAGTCATTTCCAAGAGGGACTTCCACAAGGCGATGGAGAGCCACAAGCACTACACGCAGTCGGAGACGGAGTTTCTCTTGTCTTGCACGGAGATGGATGAAAACGAAACCCTTGACTATGAAGAGTTTGTCAAACGGTTCCACGAACCTGCCAAGGACATCGGCTTCAACGTGGCTGTCCTTCTGACCAATCTTTCCGAGCACATGCCCAATGACACCCGGCTGCAGACGTTCCTGGAACTGGCAGAGAGTGTGCTGAACTATTTCCAGCCCTTTCTGGGCCGCATCGAGATCATGGGCAGTGCCAAACGCATCGAGAGGGTTTACTTTGAAATCAGTGAGTCCAGCCGGACCCAGTGGGAGAAGCCCCAGGTCAAGGAGTCTAAGAGACAGTTCATATTCGACGTGGTCAACGAAGGGGGAGAAAAAGAGAAGATGGAGCTCTTTGTGAACTTCTGCGAGGACACCATCTTCGAAATGCAGCTGGCGGCCCAGATCTCAGAGTCGGATTTGAATGAGAGGTCGGCGAATAAAGAAGAAAGTGAGAAGGAGAGGCCGGAGGAGCAGGGGCCCAGGATGGGTTTCTTTTCCATTCTGACCGTCAAATCGGCCCTGCTGGCTCTCAGGTGCAACGTCTTAACTCTCATACGGATGCTCAGTATCAAGAGCCTCAAGAAACAGATGAAAAAAATGAAAAAGATGACGGTGAAAGACATGGTCACGGCCTTCTTTTGCTCCTACTGGAGTCTTTTTATGACCCTCCTGCACTTCGTGGCCAGCGTTTTCAGGGGCTTTTGCCGTATTGTTTGTAGCCTGCTACTGGGGGCCAGCTTAGTGGAGGGCGCTAAGAAGATCAAGGTGGCGGAACTCTTAGCCAACATGCCAGACCCCACTCAGGATGAGGTCAGAGGGGACGGGGAGGAGGGAGAGAGGAAGCCCATGGAGGCCGCCCTGCCTTCGGAAGATCTGGCCGACTTGAAGGAACTGACCGAAGAGAGTGACCTCCTTTCGGACATTTTTGGCTTGGATTTGAAGCGAGAAGGGGGACAGTACAAATTAATCCCTCACAATCCCAATGCTGGCCTCAGCGACCTGATGAGCAACCCGGTCCCCATTCCCGAGGTGCAAGAAAAATTTCAGGTAATTTTTCTCTTAAGTCGCAGCAGTGCTCTCTGTGGACGTCAGGTGGGAATCACAAATGAACTTGAGACCAGGTTGCATGCTAGCACCAGAGAGGTATTAAATATATGACTCACATTCCCAAAGAGGAATATGATTTTGGGGTTGACAAAGCTAGCCTTTTTACGATTGTTTACACATTATTAAATTCTCTTAAACTACGATGGTGTAGAAAGTACCCCCCTAATGACGTTGTCAATGGAGCTGTCATTCCATCTACAAATATTTCTTCAGTATTTACCAGGTATCTGGTGCCAGTAGACCATAAGGAATTAAAAGGTAAGATGTAGTCACTGCCCTTTTTTTGTGTGTGTGCAGTTTTTGGCCGGGGCCGGGTTTGAACTCGCCACCTCCAGCATATGGGGCCAGCTCCCTACTCCTTGAAGCTGCCCTAGTCACTGCTTTTTAATTGCTTTAAATAGCTTATTAGAGCGATAAAACACATGAAGAAACTAGGAATGATTAAGTACTAAATAGTACAGGCAGTACACAGTGGGGGTTGCTTAAATTGAGGAAATGGAAACTCTGGTACGGTTTAAAGTGGTTAGATGACAGGTGGGATCTAAATTGGCCTGGAAGGAAGAGTAAGATTTGGGTAGGTAGATAAGGTTAGGAAAGGCATTTCTGAAATGAGAAAACTGAGTGGGAGGGAGCCCAAAAGTCCATTGCCCCCACTGGTGCAGAAGGTGAGTGAGCAGAAAAGGGAGATGTTTGGGCCAGTAGAATGAGCCGCACACAGGGCCCTTCTGTGTCAGCCTGAGCAGAGGTTACGGTTTGACCCATGGCCATGTGGCCGCCTAGACTTGTTCAGAGGTGACGTGTAATCCTGCTTTTCTTTCCCCCATTGACTCATTCAAGGAACAGAAGGCAAAAGATGAAGAAAAAGAAGAGAAAGAAGAAACCAAATCTGAACCTGAAAAAGCCGAGTATGTCTGATTTCATGTAATTTCGCGTTTTAGGAAGTCTTTTTTTCCCAGGAGGAAATCTGCCATCTGGGTGGGAGACCTCAGGCCCCGGGCAGGGTTGAATGTAGACTCATTCTGCACTGCAGACACTCCCAGCCCTGTCGTTCTAGCCCTTTCCTCCTTGTTCCCCAAGGATTCCCTTTTATATGGTTCTGTCAACAGAAAAAACTCAGTGATTCCAGGGAATGCTCCCTGTAAGAAAACTGTTGGCCCCGGTTCTATCCTTAAGTCATGCTTGTATTTCTGTCCTTTTAAAGTGTAACCCAGCCCATTCCCATGCTCCCCCCCTCCAGGGTGGCAAAGAATGTGCTTCTCAGCCTGTTCCCAGGCCCCCTTGTTCCCCCTAGGGTTTCCAGGAACAGAACTGTAACCATTGTTACCCTAACTGTGATGGTTGCTATCTGAACTGTAACCATTGCTACCATAACCACTACCACCCAAAGCTGTAACATTGATACCTAAACTGTAAACCCAAACTGTAACCCTGCCGATGGTGCCCTACCGCAATGTTCCTTATACACACAAAAAAAGTATAAAAGACAAAAAACCTACACTTCAGGGTTGCTTGTCTTAGGACAACAGCCCCCTGCGCGGGTGTGAATAAATCACCAATTATTTATATCAGAGTGGGTCCAAGTCTATTTTTCCAAGTCCTATAGGTCACTTCCAAAGAAGGGAGAAAACAAACATTCTGAATGTAATTGCATAGAATCCTGTGGCATGATGTTTTGAAAGCCTCATCCCAGGGCCAGGAGGGTTTATAAAAATACAGTATTGGCTCGGCGCCTATAGCTCAACCGGCTAAGGCGCCAGCCACGTACACCTAGGGTGGCGGGTTCGAATCCCCAGCCCGGACCCGCAAAACAACAATGACGGCTGCAACCAAAAAATAGCCGGGCGTTGTGGCGGG